GGAGTCTTGGAGGGAGGGTGGGGAGGACCGGGCTGGGCGTCATAGGAACTCCTGCTCCGCCGGACAAGCCGAGACAACCTGTGGCCGTGAGACCCAGGGTGGAAGTGAGAGAGGTTGGAGAGGGGCAACGTCAGTCGATTGTCTCGCACTGTTAGCTAACGGTGCTGATGATAAAACAGGAAGCTACCGCTACATGTATGGGAAGATATCACAAAGAGCCGAGAGTATGTGCCGCTTCCGACTTGGGGAATGAAGCTGAGCAGTGAACAGTCCTGGACGACATCATCGATGACATGTCCGAGCTTGTGCGAGCGCACTACGATCTCGAAGAGCTCGGAGATCCTGCTTCTGTAACCGATGAAGAAGTGGTCGTCGTGGGACGGATATGCTCCGACACCGACAACGGCACAAAGCTGACCGAATCTTCCCTCGTGCTTGAGTCGTCTCGGATGGGCGGCTCAGGCGTACGGACCCCGCTCAAGTTCGAGCCTGGATTTTCCGTGAGGGGAAGGAGCGATAACGGGTTCGGACTGTTCCCAGGGCAGATTGTTGCATTCAGGGGAAAGAACGGAGGTGGGGGATGGTTTTCCGCTTCTGAGGCACTTGAGGCAAGGTAACCAATGTTTTACAGAGTACGCTAGCTGACGCTATACGCAGATTCCAGGCCTACCAGAACCTTTCCTGCCGCCCACATCCTCTTCTACGACCGCCTTCAATACCATGATCGCCTGCGGGCCATTCACGCCCGACAGCGACCTCCTCTACCGTCCATTCGATCAGCTTCTGTCGGAAGTCGCGCGCACCAAGCCAGGTGTGCTTCTTCTCATCGGTCCCTTCATCGACTCCAACCATCCCCTGATTCGCAAAGGCGACGTGGACCACACGCCGCTCGAGATCTTCCAGCAGCGGATTGGCAGGCCGTTGCACGGATGCTTGAACGCTAACCCTGGGCTCAGCTTGGTGATCGTGCCAGGCGTGAGGGATCTCGTCAGCTTCCACTCAGCCTTCCCGCAGGCAGCGCTGAGCGAGACCGCAGATCTTGCTCTGCCAACGGTGAGTGTTTGTTTTCATGATGCAGTCCCTTGCTGATTAAGAATATAGGCTGCGATTCAACTGCCGAACCCTTGCACCATGACGATGAATGGCGTTACTGTATCTGCGAGCGGCGTGGATGTGCTGTTCCATCTCAGGAAGGAGGAGTTCATTAAGCGCGTCGAGGGCGCAACCTCCCAACTTGACCCTATGGCCTCCCTTGCTTCACATGTTCTGTCGCAGCGAAGGTGCGCATATGTTCTCCAGCCGCCGGTAATTGGCTGAAGGACGTCTGTAGCTTCTATCCCATCTTTCCACCGACGAAGGACCACTCTTCTGATGTCAATCTCGATGTGTTACACTATGACCTTCTTCGGCTGGGTCCGGCTGCGCCTGCCGTCCTCGTCCTTCCGAGCATGCTCAAGCAATTCCACAAGGTTTGTAAAACATGTAGGACCTGCTTCCAGGCTAACAACATCCTCAGGTCGTTAATGACACACTGGTGATCAACCCGTCCTTCCTCAGCCGTGGACACTACGCGTGGTTGGAGTGCCCTGATGCAACGTTCGCTCAGGCAACTGGGGGAAAGAGCGCGTGGGAGGTGTTCTGGAAGAACGCGACGGTGGACTTGAGGCGGCTGCCTACGCAATAACTGCTAGACTGACCTGTAGTTGTATAGCATGCGATCTTCTGTATCCGTCTTTTGTCGCTGCTGTTTCTCTTCCAAAGATGTGAACAGGCGTTATGACTTCGTGACGTCCACTTTCTCACGAAAAGTGGGAAGAGTGGAATGTGGTCGAGGACCGGAAATGTGACTTGCGAGAGTCGGCTCCGGTGACGCGCTCGGGCGTGCCTTGGTCAGTCGCGTCCCTGTAAGGCTGCTACCAAAGCAGCCATCATGTCATAGCATATACGGACAGTTTATCTTCATTCCAACCATGTCCGGTGCACCCAGGAAGGAGGTCGGTAGTCTTGGGGTATCTTTAACTCCTCACTCACGCTGCCAAAAGGTCCTCGTAGCTGCTATGCAGGATGTCCGCCCACTCGCAGGCATCCTTCGTGGTGTGCACTTCTCTGATAAGAAGGCAAGTTGTTGGATCTTAGACGTCCATATATGCTGACGGAACGTGCGTTAGAGGGCAACAATCGCTATCTCTGAAGAGGGGCTGATGGTGACTGTGGAGTATAACAAGCTGTTGCTCGGTTCGTTCCAGAGTACTCCCGCTTCTGATCTCGCTGACAACCACTGCAGCGTCGGCCTACCTATTTGAGCAGATGTTCAACGAGTACACGTACACCAAACCTGTCCTTACCGACGGAGAAGCTGAAGAAGGCTTCTCCCCCATCCTTGAGATCAACCTGAGCCTCCTGCTTAGTGCCCTGGACGTCTTTGGAGGAGCGGGTTTGGGCAGTGTCATCATCTCCGACAAGGACAAGGTTAGCAAGGGGAGAGCGAGGAGAGATGATTGGGATGGGAACGGAATGGACCGCGTAGAGCCGGATGATAGAAAAAAGGCGACTGCTATGAGACTGACGTGGCTAGGCAAAGGACACCCTCTCTGTCTGCATTTGTGAGTGAATCCATGCAGCATACATGTGCCTTGTCTCATCTTCGAACATAGAACGGATGCACCTAACGTCAGCACTGTCTGCGAATTGACGACGTTCGAACCTGATCCCGCTATGGACGTGCCTTTCGACAACGGTAAAGTGTACGCCCTGGTGCCTGCGGTAGGTACAGGCCAGCAAAGCTTATGACCTTCCAGGGCTGCCAGGATCATCATGAAGTCGAGCTGGCTGCGCGACGCGCTCTCCGAGATCGATCCCAAGAGCAGCAAGCTCACTATGATATGTACTCCTCCGCAAGCGCATGGCTCCAATCGCGGCGGGAAGCGCAAGGCGACATTCAAGCTGAAAGCTGTCGGGAACTTGGGCACCACTACGGTAGGCGACTTGCTCATATTCGGGGGTTATCTTGATTTTCTATCTAGATGGACTATCCGGATGACAAAGACGTGCTTGAGGTTGCCGAGTTCCGTTCTGAAGAGCCTGTCAGCTTCACGCGAGTAACTTCTGGCCCTCCCGTTCCTGCTGCCTAACATGAAGTCAGGTACCCCTTCGAGTGCATCGCCAAATCCGTTCCTGCTCTCCGCAATTCCCTCAAGACGTCTCTGCGCATAGACTCTGAAGGCATTCTGAGTCTCCAGTTCATGATACCCTTCAGGCAGCACAGGATGAGCAAAGATAAGGGGGTGGCCCGTTCTCAGAATTTCATCGAGTTCATGGTGGGTACTGGGGTGTCTCGGTACTGAAGCTTGCTGACGTAGCCATAGTGTGCCTCTCTATTCGACGACTGAGTCTGAAAGTCCACACCTACAGATGATCGGTATTTTTATATGATGACGACTGCACCGCAATCTCGGGATTTATGACGACCTCAATGTACTATCACACACTCACGATGCAGTCCCCAATGGTCCAGATAATTAGCATTACTATTTTCCGCTCCTAATGCAGGCCGTCTAAGTAGCCTTTACTCCGTTTGGTCGGGGGCACTGCACGAACAGCGATTCCCTCCACTGTTGGTAGTACGGGCAGGACTGGGACCGGTGTTGGTGCTTTGGGCATATAACTGTGGATGATATCGTCGAAGGTGGCTGCCGCTATACGTCTGGTTAGCCGTGATATTTAATATCTGCCGTGTAGCACTCACGGTGTACAGCTACCGGTGGCGGTTTGCCCATATTCGCCAATCCCTGCGCGAAAAGCGACCTTAGAGCAAAGCCATCCAGAGGCTTAGCCTCAGCCTTGACCTCTTTCTTAGCCTCCACCTGCTTCACAACAGTCTTTTCTGCCTTAGCCTCCCCCCGGAACGTTCCGTAAGGATTGCTGGCAAGCCCAAGGTACGCGAGCACATCGCCCTTCGTGAGCATACCCCTTATCCCCGTTCCTTTGATCTTCGACGTATCGTGGATGTTGTTTTCCTCCAGGAGACGATGTACCGAAGGGAAGAGCGGGTGCGCGGTCTCGATCTCGAATGGATGGTTCGATAAAGGTTGTGGAGCGGAGGGAGGCGAGGCAGAGGTGGAAGGAGGGGGTGTGCTTGCAGCGGGCTTGGCCTCTTCCTGGGGAGGGGCAGGTTTGGGCGCGGCAGACTCTTTCGGCGCCTCCAGGTTCGCGATGTCGTCGCCCTCTTCTGCGAGCAGGGCAATCACCTTGCCCACTGGGACGTTTTTGCTGCCATCGGGCACCTGCGGGAAACGTCAGAAGACAATTGATTGGTTATGAATAAGTGCAGCGTACCACTATCTTGCCCATAACACCATCATCCTGTGCCTCAACATCCATAGTCGCCTTGTCGGTCTCCTACTCCATGCATCAGCGCCGATTCCCCCTTCGCAAATCGGGTATCGCACAATTTCCAGCAAGACGTCGCCAGCGGAGAAGTGGTCACCCTCCTTGACCTTCCAAGCGTCAATGCCACCTTCCGTCATGGTTGGTGACATTGCCGGCATTTGGAACTGCGTAATGGCGAGCCGTCGCGCCGAGGTGTGCATCGCTGTCAATTCCAGCTAGATCAGCACAAATTTCAAGCTGGAATAGCTGCCTGCGCACCTCTTGAGCGCAACAACACCCTTGCGAGCGACATTTTGGGTGGTCGAGCAGAGCAGAGGTGTGCCGCACTGACGGGAAGGAAATGTATCTGAACCCCAGCGAGTCCTCGCCGAGCAGGCCCATTCCTTCATCGGCTCTTCGGTGACGTCCCGGAATTCGGCGCCTCTTTTTGCACCCGCCTCCGGTTGAAATTCCTCTGACAGTATTTCTGGCTTGGAACAAGCATTCAGGATATTCACTGCAGCCAAACCGCGCAAAGCGGTAAGGAGAACCCAGGCCTGGCGAAGTCGAAGCGCTCAAAAATTTAACACCGCCTCAGACATCCACAAGCTGTCGAAAAGTCAATTCGAATCTGGGAGCGATGGGGTTCGAACCCATGCGCATTTCTGCATTGCATCTTAAGGGCAACGTCTTAGACCACTCGACCACACTCCCGAAAAACACCAGGGACAGTTCATTTCTAAATCTATCACCTTACTGTCATCTGCACGTGACCTGCACAGTACAACTTGTTCCAACAGGTTGGGATTACAAGATACAAGGGACGAAACCCCTTCGGGGCGGAGCGACCCATCTACTGATTCAATGAACTAAATTATGCCACATCAGCTTTGCGCTCTGTATATTTGCTACCGTGTAATCCGATGGGTCTGAGAAAAAGGTGACACAATCAGTGCGGGTCCGCACCCGCGTGAGAGCTGTGTAAAGCTGTCCGTGTGCAAATACGTCACTGCGACAGTCTAACACCGTCCTGTCCAGTGTCAACCCCTGACAGCTATTATAGGTGGTGGCATAGGCAAGGCGGAGTGGCAGCTGGACTCGGACAACCGTCCAGCTGGATCGATAAGGTTTGAATTGAAATCGTATACGCGGGATGCAATGAAGTTCTTCCCCAAGTTGTCCATTTGTTGAAAGGACGCGGATCTGGACAAATCGCTGGTGAAGTGATTGGACAACCACCCTCGCATTCTTGACCAATTTCGTTTTTACCGAAAAGTTCCGCATCAGGGCACAGATGACCCCCACCTTGAGTTGAAG